AGCCAACATTGGCTGGCAGATGGAATCCGGAGGAGACCTAACCTGTGAGATCTAATCGGTCTATGGGAGGGGAAGCAACTCCTTCTGTTGGCTGCACTTATTCTGCCTTCGCAGCTACTCGGAAAAGAGTTACAACCAGTTAGAGTTTTGGTATTTATGAAAGTTTTGAGAAATGGGTTAGAGTTGATATTTACATAAAGCGAATAACACGGAACTGCCAAGAGAAAATAAACACGCTGGCAAAGGTTAAGGTGTAGATTCTTAAAAGGATAAGAGGGAGATCACAATATCCACAAACAGGGTATCATATTCTTCCCTGGAGTTCAACAAGCATAAATAATTTTGCTTTGCACAAGGAGCTATTTGTCAGCAGAAATATGAGGCATGGATATTTCTATATGCAGAATTGTATTTTTTATTTTTATTTTTTTGCTTCAAGCTGTAGCAAACCTGCCCTGATTACCTTCTTAGAAAACACAGTCGGTTTACATATAGCTTTTATTAAGATACATAGTATGTATCCCTGCCAAGACCCTCTTTTTAAATTTGTTTGTTGGGTTTATAACGTGACCCGCCAAAAGTGTGCACAACAAAAGCGCGCCGACAAAACCGCATCGCTAAAACCGTGATGTCATCACCGCGCCAACAACAGAGAGAAGGGCACTTTACAACAGCGCGTCGACAGAAAGCCGATTTAAGTTAAGGTAAGGGTTAGGGTTAGGGTTAGGGTTAGGGTTAGGGTTAGGGTTAGGGTTACATTTAGGGTTAGGTTTAGGTTTAGTTTTACAGCGTGCTTCTGTCGCCGCGCTGTTGTCAGCGCGATTCAGCGCTCATTCGTCGGGTCAGGGTTAGGGTTAGAACTCGTGATTTTGTCACCGCGGTTTAGTCGGGCGCGTTGTTGTCATTCGCCCTTTTGTCGGTGAACCGTTTATAAGGCAATAATTCTTCTTTGTACTTTCCAGATAACTGAAACAGAAAGGGGAGACAAATCTGTACACATATTGAGGTTTCCTTTTCCTAATTACTACATTTTAACAAAAGCAGTTTGTTGGATTTTGTTTTTTTTAAATTGAAAATAAATCCAAAATCAATTTCAGAAGTTATGTATTCAGACTTGCAACTCTAAACTGATTTTATGAATGACTGACTGAAAGCTGAATGTTTGAATGTGTTGACAACCTTGGCTGAAAACTGGTTGAGAGACATTCTCTTTATTTATAGATTTGATGTATCATCAACCATAGTACCTATATGAACTGTAATATAATTGTTTTATATAAAGCTCACATTGTATCTGATTCACTTTTGCCCCTTTGCTCTTAGGTCAAAAGATAGTTGGAAAACATTTGTCCATTGGCCACATAATCTGTCTTATCATAGTATGAATGAATGAATGAGAGAATGTGGATGACATTGTGAGTTTGCCTTGATATCTTTCTCTTATTCATATCAGGAGACAAAGATCAAAGCATTACTTATAAGTAAGCAAATCTCCTTAAATTCAATGAGACTGACTCCCAGAAGAGTACAGAATTGCTTAGTTAAAATCACTTTGCATTAAAGGCTTTGGGAGATGCAAAATATGTAGGTTAGGGGCAGCCAAGTATTCCTTTTCCTGTTGCCAGTCCACCCTATTTATCCTTTAAAACCCATGAATCTGTCTCCCAAAATGACCCCACCCCCTCTTGTCCCTTGAGTCAAGTGAAGTTGAATGCCCTTATACCCTTTTTGCAAGTGAAAAATAAAAAGATTTGATCCTAATGATTTTTCTCTCAAAATGCACACATTTTAAACGCGCATTCCACTAAAGAGACATTTGCAAAGATGTGTATTTTTTTATTGAATAACCGAATTACAAATTTCAGAGGCGTGTATAGTGGAAAAAATTACAGTTTCCTGATTTATGTATGAGCCAGGGAATGAATTAGCTCAGTGTGCTCGTAGCAACCGAGCTAATAGAGCAATCTTAATGTAGCAGGCCCACATCAATTACTTAAAACCCCTAAATTGCATGCTCTTGTTAGAACTTTGTTTACATTCGTGTGGCAAAGCATGTATTGTCATCTGGGGACTGTTACTGGAAAACAGAAGCACAAGTATAGGGCCATTTTTTTTTGAAGAACAGAAGGAAAGAGGCCAGAAGTAAATGTGTTTTTCCCCCAATGTTAAGTCAATCGTTGGGCCATGCAGCTCATTGGATATAATGGGAAAGCAAAGCTACATCACTAGTGATTTACCTACCTAAAACTAATTTGAATATGGAGAAACAAGGATCTCAACCTGACAATCAAATGTAGGTTAGTCTGCTCTACCTATGGCTATGAAGGTTGGATCTGGGTACTTGAGAGACCGCCTCCTGCCAATTACCTCCTCGCGACCTATAAGATCTCACAGATTAGGCCTCCTCCGAGTTCCATCTGCCAGTCAGTGTCGACTGGCAACTACGCGGAGGAGAGCCTTTTCGGTAGTAGCTCCGACCCTGTGGAACGATCTCCCCGTGGAGATTCGTACCCTCACCACCCTCCAGACCTTCCGCACAGCCCTCAAGACCTGGCTATCCCGTCAGGCCTGGGGTTAAAGATTATAATCCGTCCCCGCCCGAATGATGAATGTTGCTCTATTTTTAATTATGTATGTTCTATACGTCATTGTATGTATCCCCTCCCACATAAGTTGTAAGCCGCCCTGAGTCCCCTCAGGGAAAAGGGCGGCCTATAAATAAACTTATACCATACCATACCATCTTAGAAAAGTAAAACAGGAAGAAAATGGACTCATCTTAGCTGTGGTGCTGGAGAAGTCTGCTGCCTATTTTCCCTGGCAGCAAAAGTGACTAACGAGCAAAGACTAAAGCAAAATCAGGAAACTGTCTCACTTTCTTTGGCCGTGTCATGAGAGGGAATTCACTGGAGAAAGTCATTAGGCTTGGAAGAGTTTGCGGTGAAAGGAAAGCAGCCGCCAGAGAACATGGTGGACGGACCCTATCAAAGCTGACACCAGGCGGAGCATAGGAAAACTCAAAGAAATGGTCCATGATCTTCGTTAATTTTATAAAAATTTCCACTTGAAATAGGTCAGAATCCATTCAGAGAAGTAAGAATGGGGTAAGAAGAAAGGGGGGGGAGGTGTCCCCCCTGTGTTTTTTTTTTTAAAAACCCACTTCATTACAATATCAAATTAAAAAAGAAAAATCATTTAAAACAATTAACAATATATTGATTCCAATTATCAATTACCAGTGACTACTGAGTTTGAGTGTAAATCACATGACCGTGGGAATGCTGTCCCAGTCATAAGTGTGAAATGTCACAAGTCACTATTTTCAGGGCCGTTGTAACTTTGAATGATCGCGAATGAACTGTTATACGTCAAGGACTACCTGTAGTAGTGTATTGATGTAGTACAATGCAACTCTCCATATGGTTATTCCCTGCTAGCTTAATAGTATATTCCCGCTAAAGATGGTGAACTGAAGATGGGAAGTTTTAATTAGGGTTCCTAACGTAAGAGGGGAAAAGGGTCAAATTATTTTTTTTCCTTGATTTTTAATATTTGCAGAGGCGGTTTCAAAGCTTGGTTCTCCGTCATCCTTTTATGAATATAAAGCTTCATGTATACTACACATTAATTGGATCTTCTCTTCTGTTATCTCCAGAGATTTGAAGAATAACTTAATTAGTAACATTGAACCAGGAGCCTTCTATGGACTTTCAGAACTGAAACGTCTGTAAGTATTAATTGCAACTGAGATTACCTTAAAAATTATGCCCGTATTGATATTGATATTTGGTCTCCAGAGAATTGGGAATACATCACCATGCAATTATAAGGTAAAGAATACTGTATGATAGCAGTTTGATTTTTTTTCCCCGTGCATGATTTATGTTTATGTATTGAGACAAAGCAAATACATCTTTGCTGCAATCATACAAGAAATTGAACATAGGAAAACTTGTGTTCTGAGTTAGGTTTACCTGCAGCATATGCTGGATGGTATCATAAACTTATATTGGCAAAACAGTGTAGTCCAGATGAAAGAATAAAGGGATGAAGAATGGATAGGCTTTATGGGGGTCATTGACAGTACAAGCTACATTTTTATATCTAAAAATTGATGATGATTATATACCATTAAGACGGGGTTGGCTCCTGGTGGCCATGTAGATAGATTTTCTCCAGGATGATTCATCCACAACTTGGTCCTGCCAGTTTTCCAATAGTGTACCCATCACCACTCATAATTAGACATTTGCTGATCGCTCTTCTCTTTTCTTCTACCCTTTCTAACAGTATGTAGTTTTGAATAGAGCTAAGCGTTTCCCTGCATTACAAATAAAAGTGCAAAATAGTGCAGAAAAATAAGAGATGGGATAGAAACTGGATCTCTCTGGTGTTGGTCAAATACATTATATATATAGGAATGTAGGAGCCGAGGTGGCGCAGTGGGTAGAGCGCATTACTGCAGCCACTTCAGCTGACTGCTAGCTGCAGNTGGGAGGTATGTGGCAGTAGTAAAAAGGAAAAAAGTGTAAATAGAACAGAAAGTAAATAATAGACCCATAACATAAACAATGAAAGAAGAATATAACAGAATACATCAATATGATAACCGAAGAATGGATAGGTGGAAAGCAGAGAGGAAGGGAGGGGAGAGGTGACGTCTGCCATCAATCCAATTAGCCTCCGCCAGCCTGGAACCTCCCCCTTTTGGTCTCAGACCAACTGGCGGAGTTGGGTCTTCAGGCTTATATGAAAGAATAGAAGGGTGGGGGGGGGATGGATCTTACTTTTGAGGCTACGATGCTCCAAAGGAACCCAATTTTTTGTTTCTTCCTCCAATTTTAATGCCACTTCCCAATCTAATTCCCTGAATATTTTTATTCAGTGCATAGGTTGAATAAATGAAACAGCCCTCTCTCTCTTCTTTTAGTTTCAAGCAAAGATCATAGATGATAGATATTCAATTATAATTACTTTATACATTTTACTTGGATGGATTAATGCTGAATGAAAATAGTATGCCCAGAGATTTACATTTGGTTTGTTTTTTTTTCAAATGCAGGGGTTTCAAAATGCCTTTAATATAAGATTTATTCAGTAGAATAGATCTGGAAGGGACCTTGGAGGTCTTCTAGTCCAGCCCCCTGCTCATCTTCCTTTTGAAAGATGAATCTAAAAGAGACTTACTGCTGAACGAGCAACAGGATTGCATATGCTAAAACTAAGCCTATGTAGACCAAAGAGCATATAATTGCCCCCATCACTTTTAAGGTTCATAAATTTCTTAGTTAATTTATGTACCTGGAAATTCCTATATATACTACCCAATTTTACTCTTGAAGGTGGAACACTTTATTCTCTGTTATATGCTTATTTAATATAAACGCGAATAAGTGCATTGGTTACCATCCCAATAGACTTGTTTGCAGTGATGATAATTTGCTGGGGGGAAAACACCCTGACTGGATATTAACTGTCTGTTCAAGTGCTGAAGTATATAACATGTCAGCAAATCTTGAAGCAAAGAGCTATTGCGTTTTTAACCCTCATACAGCAGCCAGATGTTTAATGTATTGTTTATTTGTTCCACTTTGCAGTTCAAAGTATCGCACTGTAGTGTCAAAGGCTTCCCGCTTTCTATCAAGCAGTGGCTTTTTAATATCCAAATGACCAAGCTATTAAAAGTATTGGCAATATTTGAATAAAAAGGTAGGCCTGTGGAAGCAGGGAAAATATGAATCAGTCACCATTCCAGAGATAATTCTTCCATACATTTGCGGAGAAAACTCCTTTTCTCATACTGATCAATAAATTAAGTGAGTGATCAATAAATGTAAAGGAAGAGGCCACCATCTTCAACAGGGTGGTCTCCCCTGTAGATTTTAAATGCATGGCGTGTTACTAATGACATAGGCACATAAAACCCAGCCACTAAACAGATTAAAGGTTAAAAAACAATGCTTTGAATTCTTCTTGGGGAAACAATCAGCATAGATTTATCAGGGTAGGCACAATATGCTCATTGTATCGTACTCAACTGCTACATTTTGCAGCAGTTGTATTTTTGGAACATATTCCAACTGTGACTTAATGTATTGTAGTAGTCTAATTATGATTTAACAAATTATAGATAAACACACAGAGAACATATTTTCTAAGGAGCATTTGCTGTTAGTGCAGTAAATTGATTGGCATGAATACAGAAGTTGTTGTCCTTCTGAAATTCAGCTTTACTGCTGAAAAACACAGTGGCAGGATTAAAAAAGTAAGGCTCTGTGGTGGTGCCAGATGCTACAGTGGAAAAAGGTTCTTTGGAGTACATGGAGGGAGAAAACTATTCAAGTAAAGTTACTTACTTTCCAGCATTTATCAAAGTAGAATATCCAGCAGAAGAAAGGAGTTCCATATCTATATTCTGGTCTATGTGAAACAGGTATAGATCATCACTATTTCCTGTTGCTTTGGGAGTTGCAAAGTGCGTCATTTTGAGTGTTTAATTACAGTTGTGGTGCTATTACTGTTCTAAAAACAGCAATAAAACTGCCCAAAAAGTTTTATGCTCCCAATAAATATTCCAGCCGTATTTCTGCAGCTGTACAACTGAACAATTGTTGTAGCACGCGTTGACTTCATGTAGCGTCCTATGGTTGGATTATAACAGAGGTTTGGTTTTGATTTATTTTCAGAATGTGTACACGCATACCACAAATGACATATTATTGGTATTTAAGTCAGGATTCTCTGCCAAAGTAATACTAACCCTTAAGTTTTAGTAATTTGGGAATTTTAAAAAGAATGGATTACATTGTACAAAATAGTTCTGCAAAGTGATCCAAAATATTTTTGGTGGATTTTTTTTTGGCTCGTTTGGTGCTCTGTGTGTGGCCCCATCTGCTGTTGCCGCTTGATGTAATTAATACCAAACAGTCTTTGCCCATCTCAGCGGTAACTTTGGAGGGACGAGGAATGGGGCATATAAATATGCAACCAAAATTACTCTGGTTTTCTTATTTAGTTCTGTAGAAAATTGACGCAAAGAAGCATAAAGCTTTTAATGAACATTCAAAATATTGCAAACAGTCTGAGCTAAAGTGTATAATGTCAGTTACCACTGGGGGGGGACACCATAGTGGTGGGGGATCTCTATATATTTTAAGGTCCTGCCCCCACATCTTTTATCTCTCTGTGACAGTGTTTCTCAACCTTGGTCACTTGAAGATATCCGGACTTCAACTCCCAGAATTCCCCAGCCAGCATTCGCTGGCTGGGGAATTCTGGGAGTTGAAGTCCAGACATCTTCAAGTGGCCAAGGTTGAGAAACACTGCTCTGGGAATATGGCTCTGTCTTGATTATAATCAGAGCAGATCAAAACCATGGGCCTAAGCAACGTTATTTTCTAATTCTACATTCTTAAATCTAAGATCCTCCTTTGCCTTAATATTGATCTAGCTTGATCTGACTCTAAGGTTGAATTGGTGATGGCATCACTGGATAAATCACAGAGGCTCAGTTTGTTTTGGATCCTATTTTATAGTTGTCTTCCAATATTAGATGGTGTAATCTACTAGAGCAGTGTTTCTCAACCTTGGCCACTCGAAGATGTCTGGACTTCAACTCCCAGAATTCCCCAGCCAGCGAATGCTGGCTGGGGAATTCTGGGAGTTGAAGTCCA